CTCCGCCAGGCGCCGCATGAGTGGCACGACACACTGAGGACTACTCTTGCTGCTCTTGGGTTTGCTCCTTCTACTGCTGACCCGTCGCTGTTTCTACGCACCGACACCACTCTGCCGCCGTTCTACATTCTCGTGTACGTGGACGACTTAGTCTTTGCTACTGCTAACACTGAGGCACTCGCCCACGTGAAGTCGGAGCTGCAGAAGAGACACACGTGCACTGACCTGGGTGAGTTGACAAGCTATCTTGGCTTGCGGATCACCCGGGACAGAGCACAGCGCACCATTACCTTGACTCAGTCACACATGGTGCAGCAGGTCCTTCAGCGCTTCCGCTTCACGTACTCCTCGCCTCAGTCCACTCCTCTGCCTACCGGTCACTCGCTCTCAGCTCTGCCTTCGGATGAGTCCGTAGAGCCGAGTGGCCCGTATCCAGAGCTTGTGGGCTGCCTCATGTACCTGATGACCTGCACTCGACCAGACCTTGCATACCCTCTTAGCATCCTCGCACGCTATGTCGCTCCCGGCCGTCACCGGAAGGAGCACATGGATGCCGCTAAGAGGGTGTTGCGCTACTTGTGCAGTACGTCGGGCATGGGGCTTGTGCTTGGAGGTCGTAGCGACGTTGTCCTCACTAGGCACACAGACGCTTCTTGGGTTGACGACCAGGCTACACAGCGGTCGTCTCAGGGTTACACCTTCAACCTTGGCTCTGGTTCAGTTTCTTGGCGTTCTACACGCTCGTCTTCAGTTCTCAGCTCCAGTTGTGAGGCTGAGATCTACGCCACAGCCATGGCTGCGCAGGAGTTACGCTGGCTCACCTACCTGCTGACCGGCCTGGGAGAGCGGCCTCGTTCTCCTCCAGTACTGTACGTCGACAACAAGGCCACCATTGCCTTGTGTCAAGAGCACAGACTAGAGCACAGAACGAAGCACATCGCTCTGCGCTACTTCCTTGCTCGAGAGTTGCAACAGCGTGGTCAGCTTCGTCTTGCTTACGTGGCCACTCGGGCCAACACTGCTGATGTGTTCACCAAGGCGCTTCAGCCTTGTGATCATCAGCGTTTCTGTACTCTTCTCGGCCTTGTGCCTACTGTGCCTCACTTGCTTACTTCTTGACTCTGCTTGTACTGTGATCTCTATATATATACCTGCATGCTTACACTTGCTCGGTTGTGATCTCTGTATCTCTTGTTATATTATCAACCTGCATGTGAACTGGTCTTGTGACCGCTTGCTTGTGCTCGGAATTTGTGTTGTTTCCTTGAGATCCACCCTGAGCTTGCTTTGCTTTGCTTTGACTGGTCTTGTGACCATCTGGTTGTCCCCCACTTCGCCTATGTGGGTGTGTCAAACATCATACATGTTTAGATTGTGTAGGCTATAGTGGGTTTAGCCTTAAGGGGTACAACATTGCTAGGGTTACCCACTTGTATCACCCTGTTGCCTAGTTTCATTCATTCTCGTGCAGTACTAGCTTCTAACACAGTCCACAGCTCAGCGCCACCTCAGGAGCCTGCCACGGTTCACCACGCTCTGGGGGGGGAGCACAGGGAAGAATGGCGCGAAGCCATGGACAAGGAATTAAAGGCGCTGGAAGAACGCAACACCTGGAAAATTGTTCCCATTGGCGTGGCTCGTAACAAAACGGTACTCACCGGAAAATGGGTTTTCCGTGTGAAAACCAAAGCAGACGGCACCATCGACAAGTTCAAGGCGCGCTGGGTTGTACGCGGCTTCGACCAAGAGCACGGACGCGACTTCACCGAGACATTCGCGCCGGTTAGTCGACACACTTCACTACGGATTCTCCTCGCGATAGCCGCCATGAAGAAGAAGAAACTACGCCAAATGGACGTCGCCAATGCCTTCCTTTACGCACCTGTTGACGCCGAGATCTTCGTCGAGCAACCACACGGCTCCAACGCAGACCCAAACCAAGTCTGTCGGCTACTGAAGTCATTGTACGGCATCAAGCAAGCCCCGAGACTGTGGCAGCAGTACCTACATGCCCGACTTATTCACATTGGATTCCGCCAGCTACCACACGACCAAGGCATGTACCGGCTCACGAAGGACACTGACTACATTCTACTCATCGTCTACGTAGATGATCTCCTCTACATCGGCTCGACCGACGACGTCACAACTTGGTTCAAAGGGGAGCTGCAGCAGGACCTCACGCTCACGGTTTTGTCTACCGTAACACAATACCTCGGCCTCAACATCCAAGAAGAAGAAAACGCGATCTACCTCAACGCCGAGAAGTACGCCGACACTATCGCTAAGCGATTTGGGTTAACGCCGACCGCTATCTCCACACCATATCGCTACACCGCCGGAAGTCACAAGGAAACCTCCGCTCTGCTCAAACCCGCCGGCATACGCGAGTACCAATGAAAGCTAGGATGCCTGCTCTTCGCAGCCGTCACCTGCCGACCGGATCCATCATACTCTGCGAGCCAACTCGCCACCTACCTCAAGAAACCCGAAGCAGAGCACATGGCGGAGCTCGACCGCGCACTGCACTACCTCGTCAGCACCCCGACGATCGGACTAACCTACTGCAAGAACGGAACTACAACGCCTAAGCTGATCGATTACGTCGACGCTGACCACGTCGGCAACTCTGACAACAGACGCTCCCGCACCGGCTACACCTACCGACTCGAGCCTATCGAGTCCATCTCGTGGCAGTCGAGCAAGCAGGAACTAATTGCTCTCTCCTCAGCTGAGGCAGAATATATTGCACTCTGTTCAGCCACCAAGGAAGGACTGTACCTTCGCGAACTACTGGAAGAAGCGAAGCTGGCCCAGTTACCCAGCTTCTCCCTGTTTTGCGACAACCAATCTGCAATTCGTATAGCCAACAAGAACGGATTCGCGAACAGAACGAAGCACATCGCCCTGCGATATTTCTTCGTGAAGGACGAAATCGAGAAGGGGAGACTCGAACTGTCCTATTGCCCCACGTCTGAGATGGCAGCTGATTACTTGACCAAGAAACTCGGAACGCAGAAGTTCGAGTACTGCATGCTGCTGACTGGACAAGGCCACGTCACCAGCAACGACACTCCACAAGTGAAGGGGAGTGTTGGAAACAAGTGATTTAAGCGCTTTTGTTGTGTCGAAACACTAAGTCGTAAATGAAGCGAAGCACAACGAAGCATCGGCGAGTCAACCATCGGAGGTTGAAGAAGAAAAGTAACTGCTGGAGGTTACGCGAAAGTCAAAGGTCAGCGACCTTTGACCTGACAAATACAGCGCGACAGCAAGGACAAACAACTGACTCGTTCTTGAGCAGTTGCCCGAGTCGTCACTATATCGAACCGCAACAGCAACAGTAAAACGGTTATTAGCTGTATCTCTTCGTATTCCTTGTACTCTTATAAAAACCTTGTATCTCCTTGTTTTAAATAATCGATCTTGCCCTCACATACTAGGGCAAGGTGGTTCAATACTTATCATTAAAGCGCTTCTGCAACTACAACTTTCTTACTATGAGTTTAGCCTTGCAAAGATCCTAAGGGCTTTTCTCAGCCCAACACATGTCTCCATCAATCAAGGAAGAGAGTCAGGCCTCTCGATATAAGGGTGAAACACCCTTATGGCCCTTACTATAAGGGTGGGTTTAGGTGTTCACCCTTGTCTATAAGAGTTGTATTATGAGGCACCCTTAGCCGGAAAAGTGTTCTTTTTGGAGTACCCATAAGACGTGCTGTGTACACATAAGAGATGACGTTGGAGTACCCATAACACGTGCTGTGTACACATAAGAGTTGTTCCCTTAGCCACTGATATTTAAGACATGCTGGGTGTACTCGCCCTGATGACAAAGACTAGTGTCGCGTACCACCCTGATGCAATTTTACGCGGGGGGGGGGGGGGGGGGGGGGGGGGGGGGGGGGGGGGGGGGGGGGGGTACTGACGAGATTTGGGCCGCAATTGGCGGCGTTTTGCCTGAGTCAGCAGATGTGCGTGTCGCCTAGACGGCTCGCGTCGCCACTGCCACAGTCCCGTCAACTGTACCTGGCTCACCTGCAATTTTCCCTGCTGGCAATGCCGCACAGCGCCACACGTTCGTGCTTCGTGCAGGAGGAGTGTCCTGCTTGGAAGCATCTCTTCTTCCCTCCCACGCAGGCCCCCACCCACCGACCAGTCTCACGCACGCACCCTACCCCAGTCCTCCTCGTTTCATTTCTCAATCCTTCCTCCTCGCTATCTCATCTAGTCTAGGGTTTGCAAACCACGCCACCGCTCTCTCATACAGCTAGCGTAGGCCCAGCTCCTGCATCCACCCTCTGGGCCTCGCCATGGCTGCTGACGAACCCTATGATGGTGACGACGAAGCACGTCGTCAAGTCCAAAATTCACCCCCGCGAACGGGCCTCAGCTTTCTACGAAACCCCGCTAAAAAACTGCCAGATCCGGAGCCCGTAGTTGCTTCTACCGAGAATGAAACCCGCGTGGATGAATCAGGGCATGACCGGCGCTCACCTGAAGTTTGCACTACAACGACTGAACCTTCCCCTCCAGAAGCGACGGCTCCTGTAACGGAGATCGGCGTTGCGGCTGGCGACTCTGCGAACAAGAAGCGTAAAGATTCAAGCGGTGGCAGTGCTAAGCAGTGGTGGCGACAACCGAAGCTCTCTTTGAAGCGGGCGGCACGTCCAACCCCACGAGTGGAGGACCAGGGGAGTGATGACGAGGAGGATGAAGACGGCCTGCCGACAGTTGAAGAGATGGCCCGTTACCCCGAAGTCGCTTTCGCTAAAGCGCATAATCGTTTTAAGACGTCATGGGAATCTTTGTTTCCGTGGCTTATTCTAACTCGTGATGACGTTGGCTTCCCTATTTTGAGATGCAGCACGTGCTTGGAGCATGGAGCGGAAGGCGCGAAAACGGCATATGGCAAGGGAGGCAGTGGAGAGCGTGACATGCAGAAGGGGAGCATCCGGACGCACCAGCGCTCCACCGCACACCAGGACGCACACGCCGACATGAAGTCGAAGGAGAGCCGGAAGCTTCGTCAAACGTTGCTGAGCGAGTTCGAGGGGTTGGATCGCAGCACGCTTCACATCATCACCGCTCTGAAGACTACCGTGTACATCTGCAAGTCGGAGGCGCCAATCACCTCCTACGTGGGCACCATCAAGTTCATGGCCAAGCTCGGAGTCCCGAACCTTCCCTTGGATTCCAAGGGAAACTACTTTTCGGAGTAAGTCTCGGGGTACGTGCAGTGGTTGTACTAGTTCCGTTACCACTTACTTGATTGGCAGCGTGCTAACCTCTATGGATGTCTCATGCAGGTACGGTTTCGTGGAGTTACTAGATGCTGCCGCGAAGTACATGTGGCAAGAGCAACTGAAGCAGACCGAGGCGAGCCCGTACATCTCCATACAGCTCGACGAGAGTACTGACAAGGCACGCGGAAAGCACCTGATCGTCTACGTGACCTTCATGAAGGACGGGGCGAGCGTCTGTGAGTTCCTCACGCTGCTGCCAGTTGACAAATGTGACGCGGCAAGTCTCGTCGACGTGCTACTGACCCACCTTGACGCCGTGGGCATTGACATGTCCAGAATCGTCGGAATCAGCACCGACGGTGCCAGAGTCATGACGGGCACAAGCAATGGTATCTGGGCGAGGAATCCCTATCTCGTGTCGTGCCACTGCGTCGCACATCGGTAAGTCCGTCTGTGTTATTGGCGTTAAGGCAGGTGTGTAGTGTTGATCATGTACTGCCCACTCACTTCAATCGCACGTTTTCTCTGTTCTACCTTGAGCAGGGAGGCGTTGGCCGCGAAGGATGCCGTTGAGAAGGTGCCGGAGTTCAACATCATAGACCAGGCGGTGCGCAACGTGGCGGAGCAGCTATCTAGGTCGAGCAACTGGCACCGGGGATTCGAGCACCTTCAGGAGTACATCTGCGAAACCAAATTGGAGCTGCAGGGGATCCACGATGTGCGGTGGCTCTCTAGAGGGGAGGCAGTCAAGCGGTTCGCCAAGGTTCTGCCGGCCACGATCGTCCTGCTACACGATTTCAAGCACGCGCTCTATGAAGTCGTCACCTCTTTCAAATTCCACTTCATGCTTTTCTTCCTTGCTGACATTCTTGCCGTGCTCAACGAGCTCAACGCCAAGTTCCAGAAGCAGCAGGTGACGTGTGGGGTGTTGAGGTTGTACATGTTGGCCATTGTTTCCCACCTTGGTACCCCGTTTCCCAGCCTTGTTCCCAGTTGTTGTAAGTGGCGGTTGTGTGCCGTTGTTAACCATCGTACATCAACCTCTGGCAGCAACTCTTCATCCCACCCACACCCACTCACAGGTTGACATCACGGTGGTCGCGGGGGAGGTGTCGCTCGCTTGCCGGACGATCGAAGTGTGATACGTGGACTGCGAGGACCGTTTCGGCAACGATCAGTCGCCCATGCTCTGCGCGTTCCTGAAGAAGCACGGCAACCCTCAACACCGCGAGGTCACCGTCAATGGCGTGGACCAGAATGGCGACGCTGCAGAGCACAAGTTCGAGCTTCACGAGCAGCGACTACAAGACGGGCAGCGACTACTACTCCTGCAAGGCGGTGTGCCAGGAGTTTGCAAGGGCCTGCGTTGCGCGACTCGAGTTCCGCCTGGAAGACCTCAAGGACCTGGCCGGCTCCAAGCTTTTCCGGCCTTCATGCTATCCCGACGACAACGCGCAGCGGATGAAGAAGTGCCGCGAGTGGTTGGGCATGCTGGACCACATGTTTCACCACCGCCTCTTTGGTACGCCACCTGGTTGTGCATGCAATGTGCTGTCTGCTCTGTGTGTGTGTGTACCTTGGTGTGCTGCTAAACATCTCCCATACGCCCCGATCGCCCCTCTCACTGCTCTCCCATCCTGTCAGGTGTGTGCTTCAAGGCGTGCGAGAGGGAGCTACCGTTGTTTCTCCACACCATGGATACCAACCACGGCAACATCAGCTTCCACAAGTCCCTCTCGCTCATGCTCCAGTCAACGGACTACATGGGAGCTTACCCGAACCTTGTGCAGCTGTGGCAGGCCGTAGCGGTGCTCCCCCTCAGCACGGTGGAGTGCGAGCGGGGCTTCAGTCGCCAGAACCGTATCAAGACGTGGAAACGGACCTGCCTGGGCGACGCCAAACTGGGCGATCTGATGACTGCAGCCCTCTTGCCCAGTGATGGTCTGAACTGGGTGAATGTGGTAGCCCTGTTCAATGCTAGCAAGAAGCGCCGTCCTGTCCAGGAGTTCCTGTATTGACTTGTGGTTTCCCTTGCTTTGAGAATTCTGCTGGAACCAGGCCAGGCCAGACCATCCCATATGTAGGTCCTGCTGTTGTTCTAGCTCTAGTCATGTAGTTTTTTATTGTAGTTCACATGTCACATCACATGTGAAGTCAACCGTATATTACTCGTTGGTAAACAAAAAATGGTACAACTAACCGAGATGCACAGCACACTGACGAGCACAAGTAACACTGCAGCCAACACTGATAAACAAGACTGACATGGCTGCCTCACCCTTACTGAAAGACCAGCTTTGGCAACAGGGCCTACTTTTGGATTTTAGGTACTCAGATTTCCAGAGAATTTTTTTCCCAACTCTGAAATCTAGGGTTGTTCATGTGCCTTACTCTGATTTGTCAGAGTAACCCTATACTTAAAAAAAAAAAAAAACCAGGCACGTCAGAGTAATATTTTTCCCTACTCTGATGTTGGTTAAGTTTGGTGTATGACCTTAATAGGTTTTTGTTACGCCTTTTGTACTTGCACTATGTTTCATTTCCGCGTCGCCCACGTTTCCCCCCTCAGTGCGCTGTTTCCAAGGGAGGTGTTGGCACCGATAATCTGACTCAAGGAGAGGGGAGGGGAGTGGCTGACATGTGCGCTGGTTGAGATGAGAAGTTGTCAAACTACAGTAGCCAATCAGCGCTCATATTGCCGCCAACACACGACCGACCGAAATCAGGAGAATGATCTCAACGATTCGGGGAAAACCCGCTAAACGGGGGGGGGGGGGGGGGGGGGGTTGTTGGGGGGGTTTCGACTAGGGGGCATGTATTCGCTATACAGAGTAAATTCGGTCCCTGGAAAAAAACCCCAGAGGCCTCAGAGTAACCTACAGCATAACTCTGACAAATCAGAGAAATCTTAAGTCCCAAAAAAAATACCCAGCGGGTACAGAGTTACTTTCAAAAGTGACTCTGATTTTTAGAGAAACATAGTAATTTACTCTGATAACGTGGGGCCTGTTTGGCAAACTGCCCTTTCGACTAAGTGCTTCCAAACTTATCCAGAGGCCTGAAGAGAGTGCTTTGAATTCTGTCCACAAAGTGAGTTGAGGTTTGCTGATATAACTTAAGGATCGTAGTGGATAGGATAAAGCTGTCAAGTGTAAAGAGAACTTGTGAAGTCTCAGTGGTGACCTTGTTGTTTAATTGAAAGAGAAGAAGATGATTATAAGATAGAAGTACAAGGGCATAAATAGCATTCCTAGCTAGCCATGTACTCTGAGGGGTACATTCCCTTATTAACTGAATTGCACTTGCTACAGTAACCCACAACTATTGCCATTCTAGGCAGTTACTATGTTGCACTTCGCAACTGCCTCGTGCGGTTACCTGGCAGTCAAGGGTCACGACCGTTGACTGTCTTCGACTGTTGACCTTCGGGTGACCCTCGAACTTCCGCGTGCTCTATATGAGCTATTGCGGTACTGGTACAGGCGTGCACTTCGTTATGGAGTAACACGAGAGTGGAGAACCTTCGGGAATGTTTATAATAACCTTTCGGTTATTCCAACACTCCCCTTCATTCCTGAAGGTGAGCCACGTGGGACTTCTTGGTGACCCCGCAAAGGTTGGCGCAGTGCTGGAACTGTTGACGTGGCAGTTTCTTTGTCAGAAAATCGGCTGCCATGTCACCAGTTGGGCAGTACGTGAGCTTGACCTTGCCCTTGTCGATTTCGTCCTTGACGAAGAAGTAGCGAAGGGCGATGTGTTTCGTGCGGTTCACAAAGCCGTGCTTGTTTGCGATCTTGATCGCGATTTGGTTGTCGCAGAGTAACGTGAAATGCCCGTTCATCGTCACTTTCGCTTCCTGCAGAAGTTCCATCAGGTACAGTCCTTCGCGAACAGCTGCGCTGGCGGCGATGAATTCTGCTTCGGCTGACGAAAGAGCGATGAGTTCCTGCTTGTGAGAGTTCCACGAGATGACCCCAGCAGGTTGAAGTTGAAAAATGAATCCTGTGCGGGAGCGTCTGTTGTCAACATCTCCTGCATGGTCAGCGTCTACGTAACCGTGCAGCTGCAGGGTGGCCGTTAAGTTAGCTTCGTAGGTGAGGCCGACGTCGGGAGTAGAGATGAAGTATTGAAGTGCGCGGCGCAGATCCTGTAGATTCTCCCCTTCAGGTCGCTTCATGTACTGAGCGAGCTGACTTGCGACGTAGGAGAGATCGGGCCGGCACGTGACGGCGGCGAATAGAAGGCACCCGAGCTGCTACTGATAGAGCCAATGATCCTCAAGAGAGAGGGGCGTGGTGTCTGGTTCATGGTTAGGAGGAGGAGTGCGAAAGGGTGTGGAGAGGTTGATGGGTGCAATGCCGAATTTCTTTGCGAGTGTCTCGGCGTACTTAGCGGCGGAGAGATGAATGGAGGAGGCAGACTGGGTGTTGTTGAGACCCAGGAATTGAGTAACGTCGTGGTTGATGGTGACTTCCAGCTGCTCCTTGATTTCTGCCTCGAATTGGTCCAGTAGCTCCGTGTCGTCACCGGTGTAGAGGAGGTCGTGGACGTAGGCGACGAGGAGAATGAATTTGCCGCGCGACTCCTTCCGGTACATTCCGAGGTCGTGGGGCAGCTGTTGGAAGCCGAGGTTTGTTAGCACCGTGTGGAGGTACTGCTGCCACAGGCGAGGTGCTTGCTTAATCCCGTAAAGAGATTTCTGGAGCAGGCAGACGGCGCCGTCGGTCTCTTCGAAGGCATGCAGCTGCTCGACAAAGATGATTGCGTCGACCGGAGCGTACAAGAATGCGCTGCCGACGTCGATTTGACGGAGTGGGCGCTGCTTGACGGCTGCGATGCAGATGAGAATCCGCACTGAGGTGTGCCGTCCGACTGGTGCGTAGGTGAGATCGAAATCCACCATGTGTGTTTGCTCGAAGCCGCGGACCACCCATCGCGCCTTGTATTTGTCGATGGAGCCGTCCGCCAGCGTCTTGATGCGGAACACCCATTTGCCGCTGAGAATTTTTCTCCCCTTCGCAAATGTCCATTGGGCCGGAGAGAGCCTGGCGAATAGTGGTGGGTTCCTTGGGGGAGTAGTGGCGAACAGCGACGGCGAGCCCAAGGATGCGGAGACCAGTTTCGTTGGTCTTTTCGTAGTGCAGGCGATCGTAGTCGTGGAAGCTGGTTACTTCGACCACGTCGTCGTCGCTTTCGTTGCCAAGGCGGATGGTGTCTTGCGAGGTGTTGGGCTGTGGTAACGCGGCATCTGGTGAGTGGCGGGCGGCGCTGTCGAAGTCATGGGCGTTGCGAGTTGTATCGTCGGGATCAGTTTGGTGTAGCGGAATGAAGGTTGGGGTTTGGAATGGGCTTGTAAGGGGGATGTTGGGTGCGCTGTCAAACTGAGTGACGTTTGTTGCAGCCTCATCTTCCGCCAGGTCAGCTTCATCGTGTGGAGTTGCGAAGCTGCGGTGTCCCTCGAAAACCCTTTCCGGTGCTGTGTCAGCTTCGCGGTGTTCGTTGAACAGTGGCAGAGTCAGCTTCTCGTAGAAGATGCAGTCACGTGATTTCGTCACTTCGTGTGTCGCGTAGTCCAACACGATCCACGCCTTGTATTCCTTTTCGACCCCGAGGTGGATGCCCCAGCGAGCTCGGTCAGCAAATTTTCCGGTTCGTGCTGTATGTGGCTTGTACTGTACCATGTAGCCAAAAACCCGTAGCAGGCGCGTGTCTGCTTTTCTGCCCGTCCACGCTTTGTATGGGGAGTTGTTGTTCTCGAGACTTCGCGAGGACAGCAAGTTGTGCAGTCGGACTGCATGGTTCATGGCGAACGGCCAGTAATGTGTTGGGATGGCCGTCTGCTTCATCAGAGCCCTCATCCTTGTGGCGAGGCTCCTGTTTGTCCGTTTTGCTACTCCTTGCTGCTCGTGAGCGTAAGGCAGGGACACCAGGTGTTCAATCCCTTTCTTTCAAAAGAGCTCCTTGAACTCGTCTGAGAAGAACTCTAGAGCTCCGTCCGTTTGCCAGCTCTTTAGTTTAAGTCCTGATTGACGTTCAGCTCGCTTCATCCACGCGATGAAGCATTCGAAGGCGAGCGACCTGCAGTCGGTGTTGACAGCCCAGACGTAGCGAGTGCTCGCGTCGATGAAGGTCAGCGTGTAGTATTCGCCGTCAAGTCCTTCCTTCGTCAGGCACATGAAGTCGCTGTAAACCTTGTCGAGCGGTTTGTAACGTTCGTAACCGGGCGGTAGGTCGGGGAAGGGCTTGTGGGCGAGTGACGCGGTAGGGCACACGGTGCAGGATGGGTCATCGGAGTCTGCGGTGAGGAATCATCCTCGTGGGAGGAGCAGAGCTTCGTTGTCGAGGACCCCAGCCTTCAGGGAGTTCTTGAGTGTTGTGTGAGAAAGATGCCCGAGCCGCTGATGCCAGATTTCAGGTTCCGCACGGTAGCCAACTGTCTTCTGATAATATTTCTGTCTTGCTGCTTCGTCGTTTGCCTCCCCTTCAGGTCCTGCATCGGCGGCGTTGTCAGCGTCGGCGGCGAACGCGCGAATTGCCTTTTGTTCCAGAAGCGCGTGTGGAATACCGCAAGCAGGAACTGATTGGGCCAGTCGCGGACTGGAAGTCCCTTCATGGGAATTCGATAGTAGCTGAATTCGGCCCCGATGACCTCAATCTCCTGTGGTCCTTGTACTGGTGGCTCCGGTTCCTCGGTAGGTGCTGGCAGCTCCGCTGTTTCGCCGAAGAGTTCGTAAGTTGCTTCCTGCTCCTCTGACTCTTCTTCCATTGGTTCTGGTGTGTCAAGGGCGTACTGGTCCGGAAGGGGGGGGCCACCCCAGCTGGTGCCTCGTGTCGCCCAGTAGGGATCGAAATCCGCTGTTTCGGCTGAAGGGAGTCCCGGAGCTTCGGGATATGGAGGGGCCGCCTGCCCCAATCCGGTTGGCCTCCAGAAGTGCCCCGGCCGCTTCCGCCAGCGGAGGTGCCCCAGCCACCAGGGTTGTCTTCGGCGCCCCGGCCAGCTCCTTCGCCCCAACCGGCTTCTATTTCGCCCCAACCGCCTTCTGCGCTCCAGCCACCTTCGGCGGCACCGCTTGCTACTGTTGCCGAGATGGTGCCGTGGTCTCTTGCAGCTGCTTCCTCTGGTGTTAGAACTTCTCCCAAGGGACCGAGCGCAGGGCCAGGACTAACTGGCTCGGTTCCGACCTTTTCTTTTCCTTTAGCGGATGGTTCCGCAGATGCTGACGTTTCGCTGTCTTCTTCCATTGATGCAGGTCTGGTTTCAGCTGGGTTGGAGGTCGAGGCAGTCGGGACGGTGCACAGTCGCAGGAGGCCGTCCGAGGCGGGTCGTTCGAGATCCATCTCTGTGGGATGCGACCATGTTGGAGCTTCTGCAGTGGTTGTCTTCAACAGCAAGGTGCGGTGAGAGTCTCCTGAGGTGCCTTGAGCTGAGAACTGCAGCACGAAGACCCCGTCGTTGTCTACGGCTTTGCCGATGTAAGTGTTGCCGTAGAAGAGTTCGAAGGTCTTGTCTTTGCGATTGCTTCGAATGTCGACTCCGCACCGCATAAGCTGAGCTGAGGAAAGCAGGTTGTATCGTAGATCTGGAGCGACGAGCACGTCGCCGATGTGAATCGTGAAGTGAGTGTCGTCAGCTTCAAGGAAGATCTCACCGAT